TTTTAGTTTTATTATTTGATTTAGTATTTATATAGTATATTTGTTATAGTTTTTATTTATTTTGTTTAGTTTTTGTATTTGTTACCCATACAAAGCACTGATGGCAGTATGGATGAGTTTTATTATTTGTTTAGTATAGTATTTTAATATAGTTTTATTAGTAATAGTTTTTTATAATGATTAGTTATAGTTTTTAGTTATATTACACAGAAAATTATAAAATAGTCTAGAATGTTATAAAATGTTTTAGAATGTCCCAGAATATCTTAGAATGTGGCAACTTCCAGAATCTTACAGAATGTTCTGGAACCTTTTAGAATTTTCTAGATATTATTAATCAATAACTAGTAATATGTGTTACTTTAACATTATGCAAAGAGTACCACGAATACTACCTTTAATACTATGAGCACTATAGCTAAAAATAACTATTAGTCCACTCAAACACTGTGAACACTAACATGGATTACTAATTCTTAGCAACCAAAAGTTATAAATACAGGCCTTTTTCTTCTTTGACTCAACATGATATAGAATTAAAATCATAATAGTTCCTAAAACAAAATAAATAATAATAACTTCTTTAAATAATACCTGCCTTTTAGTTCTTAACAATAAATAATATTTTAATATCTTTATTCTTCTCTTAGTCAAACTCTTGTACTTCGTTTCTTTATAATTTTTCTTTATTATTTTTGGTTTTTTTAGTTTTTGTTATTAGAAATAATATTTTCTTTTATTTTATTTTTGATTTTATTAATTTTGGTTTTGTTTGTTTACTGATAAATAAACTGGTGCTTTGAATAATAATTGTGAAAAACCTTCTGCTACCTAAAAATTTGCAGATTAATAAAGAAACGCTTGTAACAGTACTAAAGACAACACTAAGTAATATTCAAGCTATACCAAAGTAGAAAGACCAAATAATTAGGTCTAGTGACCTAGTATAGTAGTTAGATTGTTGGACTGCTATGCAATAGGTTTGGGTTCAAATCCTACTGTCGATGAATTTGAATAATTTCTTAGACCTTGTGATATATTACAGTAAACCCTGTTCATTTCTGAAAGTGTATCTCTGTAAATTGAGTTGTACCAAATCGATCAGAACTTGAAAGTGTAGTGTAATGATATATGAATAAATTTTGATAGAATATATGAGCAGAGGATCTGCATAGTAGAAATTCTGAGTCAGTGAATTAGTACAGCCTTCTAACAGAACTACATTAGCTAAAGTCTGATCTGAGAAGAAAACTCAGTCTAATAAAGGTAAAAGGTTTTAAGGTCTCTAGGTAAAAAGTAACTAGGACTAGCTGGATACTAGAAAAGGACTAGATCAACTGACTAGTGGAAGACCATAGTAGAACCTAAGGTTGTATAAACATCTACAAGAGTCTAAGTTAGGTGAATCTGTAAAATAGGTATGGACCACTCTAGTAGGTTTACTTCAAGGTTAACTAGCTCTGTGATACTAGCAATGTATCTAGTACAATATATCCTAAGAGGACCTAAGCTGTTCTGAATAAATAAATTTGTAATGAGCTAGCTGGCTTAAGTGGTTAGGTGTTGCAATGATGTTAGGTTAGATCTGTATAAGTTAATAAACAGAGTGTTTAAATAGGTAACTCATAAGTGGGTTACAGATATAGTAGCATAGTATAGAACCAATCAGATAGCCTAATGCCTATGCAATGGACTACTTAAAATAGACAATGACTAAAGTTATACATGTGGCTTGTTGTACACTCTTCATGTAATTACAAACAGTAGGGATTATCATTATATAATCCTGTTGACAATTCTAATAAAAATTCCTTTAGCAATGTAAGCTACCTTAACAACAAAAAAAAAAAAAAAAAAAAAAAAGACCAAATAATAGACTGCTCGCTTAGGTCATTTATAAACATAACAACTGCAATAACATATGAAACAGAATAGGCTAAACTAAGTAACAGATATCATAGCTCTGAATCAAGAAAACAACTTCAGCAAAGAGCCAATTTGGAAAAACATTTGAGAAGTACTAAAGAAGTAACAAGAGAAAAATTACATTAGTTTAAAGAAAAGCAGAAACCTCATGTTTCGCATAAAATATATTAATAATATTCTACTGACAAAAGATATCTGCTATTTAAGAAACCCTGAACTATATAAGAGCAAAAGATGTATAGCTTGCTTCAGAAAGGACAAAACCTTGTATCACTTAGCAGAATGTGAAATTTACCAAAAAATATGAAGGAACCTAGAAGAGGAAACTCTATATCTAACAAGTTTTGAAGTGTTAACAAAGTTGGACCTATTACTTGAGGATAATGCATTGAGGAAGGCATTCTATAGTAAAGATCCAAAAGAGAAGATACATATCAGAAAGATGCATTTCAGAGACCTCACAAATAAGAAGCAATATACAGATATATGCAAAATAACATAGTCTAAAAGCAAGGTAAACAAAGTATTAATAATTTTTATTAAGCAATTCTGGTTTTGTTTCTATAAACGATTATAGAAGTTCAGGTGTGAAATGATAGTTGAATAGGAAAAAGAAAACAGCATCACAACTAAAGAAAAAAGAAAGAAAAAGATAAGAAAAAAAGAAAAAGTAAATAAAGAAAATATACCTCCTATAAATAAAATAAAGAAATTAAAGAAGGAGAAAGAAACAAGAATTCAAAAAGAAACTTCTGTTAGAGTTGATAGATGAATAAGATCAGATAGTAAGGAAGAATAGTTAAAGTTTAAAACAAATTAGGTAATTTTGATATAGACTGATAGTAGCCTTTTGTTAACTAAGAGCTAAAAATTTGTATATACAAATTTAAACTCTTATGAGAGAAATAGTTGCTGTGGCAGATCATACTTAAGTGCTGAAAAGTAACTGAATGAGTCCTGATTAGTTTTAGGAAAGTAGTTTGCTGTAAATAGTATAGCATTTTACTTGTAGCTTAAATTAACTTATTCTTAATAAAATAATAGACAAGATCACCTAAGTATAAAATAAATAAATAAATAAATAAATAAAAAATTTAGATATTATATAGATAGCTAAGTGAGTTCAGAATTATAAAGAAGAAGGTAGTCAAAAATTAGATTAACTTAAATTTTCTGTATTTGTTTTAATGCTAAATAGAGTATATCTTTTAATAAAATAAAGGGCAAGATCATCTAAGTTAAAAAAAAAAATAAAATAAAATAAAACAAAAAAAAAAACCTATACTCTTATTTTAATCTAGTTTATATAATTATTATATATAAGTAAAGATAAAAACATAGTCTCACCTTAACTTTACTAAAAAAAAAAAAAAAAAAAATTATTATATATAAGATATTATATAACATAAGTGTTATGAATATAATATTTCATATTATTATATGCATTATTAAATGATATTCTACGTATCATAATTCTAATCAACCGTTAATTAAAAAAATCAACATGGTAATTCATCGCAAGTGCGATACATCGTTACCCTTGATCGACCAATCAAAATGCAAGATCATGTGTAACGTGAAAAAAGAACTACATAGCGATAGTCTTTAAGTCTCACGTACTGCACTAAATAGGTTTAAATATAAGTTATTTCAAGGATCTGATTTGTAAGTACGTGTACAAAATTAATGTGATAATTGATGTGAGATAATCGAGTCTGATGCAAGCACGCAATGCATACTTGATGACTATTTTGGCCACAGATGGCCATAAATGAATACCAAGTATAGCTGTTCGTGAGTGTGAAACGGAGCACACCATAAAAAAAACTCTTAACAATTAGTATCTGGAATTAGCCAGTAAACCTTAATCACTTTTTGCCATCACAGACGCTAGGTGTACTATAACGAAAATTTTTATAACCAATATGACAAAAGAAAAAAAGTCAAAGTCAGCAAAGGCCAAAAAAAGTCACAAGAGCAAGCATAAGAAGGAACCTTTTCTTGATGGTAAATATTTTTTTCTCTTTTTTTTAAAGATTAAATTAAAATTGACACTGCGGCTTCAGATTTCAAAAATCTTCCGCATTTTTTTCGGTCAAATCTTACTATTTTTCATGAAATTAGTAAAGAATAAGATTATTGTAATTTTTAATAAGATTAGTAATAAACGAGACACGACAAGTTAATTTATTTATTTATATTTTAAAGAAGTTCCTACACGAATTAGGCTTTCACTAAAAAAGAACGCCGATACAGGCAAGAGCAAGTCAAAATCGAAGCGTTCAGAAGTTTCTGAAGATGCTCCTGAAGGAAATGAATTTGACGCAGAGATGCGTGATGCAGTAGATAATTATGATTATGAACAAGAAGCTATAATGGATAGTAATGACTCCACCCTTAATATTGACTCCGAGGAGACCGGTAATGCTAAAATAGATACATCCAAATCTTCAGCGGCGGTTAACACAAACAAGATGATCTTGAAGCTAAAATTCAACCTAGATTCACCCCCTATCACAAAGAAGCATAAGCACAAACACAAACATCATAGGGAACAAGGTGAAAGCTCTTCACATTCACGCAAAAAAGTTATTGGTAAACGTACGAAGCGAGATTCTTCGAATGAAGACTCTGATAAAAATGGGGATTTATTCAACACAGATGATAATGAATCTTCTCATGCACGAAAAAAAGCGAAACGCCATCATGTGGACACTGATGTGAACATTGAGATTAATGGTGAAAGTAGAAGTGTTGAAACATGTGGCGATAGTGTTAACCGACATGCGACTGATAAAGCAACGATTAAGACTAATGTGAATCAATCATATGCTGATAATACCGATCAGAATTTAATTAGAGGCGCTGTTGAAAACTGTTCGACAGATGTTGGTTATATATCGGCTCGCGATAAGAAAGGAAAGACTGCTTTAAAGGGTGTTATAAATAAGGTCAAAGTTGAAAAGAGTCAAACTTCAAATGATGTTAAAAGCAAGGAAATCTCACAATATGATAATAATGGTAGTAAATTAATTGATGATGAGAGTGAGAATCCTATAAAAAATGAAATAGACAGAAAAAGTACTTTAGACGATAATGTTATAAAAGGAATCAATAGTGATTCGAAAGAAATATTGATGCCTGAACTCACAACTAACACATCTTCATATTCGCTTCGTGAAAAACGGTCATACCCACCGGTCACTGAGGATGTCAAAGTAAAAGCTGATGAACGTAGTTTATCTAAATCAGTTAAAAATACGAAAGCGTTTCGTCAAGACCAAGCTTCTTCGGGAATTATTTTGAACACAATAAATGTAGATTCATCTATCACGAACGAAACCAAACTATCAATACCACCTTTTCAAGAAACAAAAAAATTGACGACATCAAATCTAGGTGATGCACCGGACGGCATTACCACTTCTGGCATTGTCACAAAAGAAGATACGATCATTTCATCGTCCGTTGGCAAAAAAGGGCCAGCACGCAAACTTGGAAGACCTCCAAAATCGCAAGAATCTCAGCGTAAAGCGACACAACGAGCCTGGGCCTGGCAAAAAAAGAAAAAAGATCTGAAAACGATATTAACAAAATTGATGGACTCTTTTAACAAGTAAATTTAACAAATTATTATTACTGTTTATATAAATAAAAATATTAAATTGAATTCATTTAATAGGAAAGATGCGTACGGTTTCTTTTTAGAACCAGTTGACACTACTATCGTAACAGATTATCTTACAATTATTCAAAAGCCGATGGATTTTGGAACGATGCGACAAAAAATAGAACGAAATGAATATTCTTCCATCGACGAATTCAAGGTAGGTTTAGCCATAAATACAACAAATTATTTAAATTATGATATTATACATTAGCTTTATCGTTTAATCTATATTCTTCACTGTAATAGGAAGATTTTACTCTTGTATGTAATAACTGCAAGACGTATAATGCACCAGAAACACTTTATTATAAAAGTGCGGACAAGCTATGGCAATTTGGTGAAAAGGCAATAGAACGTGAAAGAGATAGCATTATTTTGGAGGAGGAGAGAATGAAGGCAATAGGAATAGCTGAAAGGGCAGATATCGGAATTCGCGGAAAAAGGGTAATTGCGTCTTTTCATTGTTTATATGTTTTTTAAGACTTGCATATAAATAAAATAAAATAAAAATTAGGCTGCAAATGTTGCACAAGGTGCCATATCTGGTAGAGGTATATTATATATTAGAATTTTTTATTTTCTATGTTTGCATATAACATATAATAATTGACTGTTTCAATAATCATCCTTAAGCATCATCTGTTCCGAGGCCAGGTAGGCAAGTTCGGAAACAAAGAAGAGGGGAGGCACGTAAACAATTTGCACCAGATGGTTCACTAATGCACAGTAAATATTCCGTTCATTTGATTTCCCTAACTGTTCTTTCGATAGCAATCATTTTATTTTATACTAATTCGTTAAAATTAGATGATCCGTTTACCTTAATTCCACAACCGCCGCCTTTTGGTGAGACACCACTTCTTACAGTTATATCATCTAAAACTCAACGTCAAGGTATTATTTTTTTTTATTTAACTAATAAATGAGATTGTAATAAATAAATAAATAAATAATAATAATAAATAAATATAACTATATATATATAGCACGCTTTGAGGATTATGGACCATTTGCTACATTGGGAGTTGATCCACCTTTTTTTACGCCAGCCGATAAAGATTACCTTTACAATATATTTGGAGATGAAAAGGGATATGCATATGCTAAAAGCCTTAAAGCGTTCGTGACGGATATGGGCGAAGACATGAATATGCATGTGGATAAGATTATAGATAGTTTGACTTTTGGTGTTCATAGCCTTGATCGACAAGTATCGCGTATATTGTCTAATTTAGATCCCAATAGTCCCATTGATACCTCTGTCATTATTCAAACCGAACTTGGACCTATAAATGTGGGTGAAGAAATTCAACGAAGCCAACAGCTTTCAGAAATCAAGAAGAAGCAAGCTGAACTAGATGTGTGGCAAAAAGATAAGATTGATTTAGACTTTTTTGTTAGCGATCAAGAGATAATGGCTATGACGAAATCGATGGGGAATGATCAGCAAAGTTTTCAAAAGATGTTAGATCTTAATGCTCAGAATTTAAATGAATTGATCAAAGTTAAGCAAGGTGTTGGTACTTTGGAGTCACAACAAAAAGAAAAACAACTTTGTATGTGATGAGATTTATAGTATTACATGATATAGTTTATTTCCAACAAAATAACATTTAAGCTTCTCTAAATGTAGCTTCTGAGGTCAATATTCGACTTTTTAATCTTGTCCAGCATGTTCCAAAGAATGAAATATCTTCAAGTACAGCTTCCCCATTGCAATCAAACATAACGTCCAAGATACAGCCATTTACGCAAGAACAAATTCGTCCACAAGCCCATTTGCAAGTACAATCATGTACGTCTGACCAAACGTCCATGGATACCCAAACGACTATGTCGTCGTTTTCGTCAACACAGCCGCAAATATTACCAAAACGTACTGTTAGTATTAATTCCACACCAGCCTCAATTTTGCCTAACATAGAGCAAAATGACCCGATAAGCGCGTTAGCTCCTGCCTCTATTTTACACGATAGCGCATCCAATGCCATGACCTCTATTAGAATGCGTCAAAAGCCATGTAATTATAATCCGGGTATGTATTATGTATTATTTAATTGTAATACCTTTATTCAACCATTTAATTATTATTAAATTTCAAATTTATATTCTTAAGTAGCTGGAAGATGTGCTAATTGTCAGACTACCGATACTCCAGGTTGGAGGGCAGGTGAAACACCTGACCAAAAACTCTGCAACGGTATTTATTATAAAACCGATATTTCTTCTTCATGCAATGCATTTGGTATAGAGTATTGAAAAAAAAATTTTTTCTCATTTAGCGTGTGGTTTGTACTATGCGAAGAACCGATCGCACAGGCCGTCAAATCTGTGGAGTGCTCGTTAAAAGATAATCGTAATCGGCTTTTTTTTTTTTTTTTTTTTTTTTGTAAAATAAAGCTTCATTCCTACCATTTCAGGATTTTATAAATAAATATATTTTTGTAAATGTATTTTACTTTGAATTTCAAATCTCTTCTTCACTTCAGTACTGGTTATTATTATGTTACATAATTTGGAGTATTCTTAACAGATCCTTGTGCATTTTTGAATTTCATAATTGTTAAAAACCTGAAAATACTTACACTTTATTTGGCAGTGATCATGAGATTAAGTTTTTTTTTTTTTTTAAAATATACTTTCTATTTATTTATTTTATTAATCAAAAATGGTGCGGGCATCAAATAATTATCTTAGTTAAAAATTTTTAGATATAATTTTACTGTATTATAAAAATTTAATATAAAAATTTTTTAATAATCAATTTAAGAATAAATGATTAGTTAATTGCAGTAAATTATTAATTTTTTAGAAAAAAAAAAATTACTATATAATATATGTGACGTCGAGGATAATAATTGTAATGAGATGATTGATAGGTTTTTCATTCTTGCTTAACGCTATCATGGAAGATCAAATCCCTGTCTAAAAAGAGTTTCAAGAAATCGTTTGACTTTAGACGGTTGATTTCTCCAAATTTCATCGGCATTATCGGCGTTGATTGGCTTCTAAAAAGAATCCGAGGTATAGGAAATTTATTCTCTGGTTTGGACTTATTTTTCTAGCGGGAAAAAAGAATACTTGGCAAATGCTTTCGCAGAAATTGGTCTTCAATAAATCCAATAATTTCACTTCTGACAATTGAATGCTAATGCCCCCACCGTTCTATATATATATTCAGAGAAGTGATCCTTAATTCTAAATTGCCTATCTGCTATTGGTTAAATCGAAACGTCTAAATTATATCGCGTCCCCTGCGAATTCATTTTGTGGAGTAACTTAGTGGCGCAACCAAAATTCAGCGGATCGACCCAAAATTCCGGGTCGGAATTCATCGGAGTTAGTTGGTATTAAGCGATAATGCTGGTCAACAATACTATAGCAAATTTATCGTCTGGACAACTTTACTTAATGAGTGGCGCAATCGTTGCTTTAATAAGTGACCCGACACTTAGCGTTAGCGTTAGAGCATACTGAAATTAATTTATTTCGATCATGTTGCCGCATGGGTTATTAGCGATAAATAAACCTCGTGGAAAAACATCTACAGAAGTTTTAAATACTCTCAAAGATTTTTTTCGAAATAAATCAAATTCAATATTTATTAAGAAATTAAAATTAGGACATGGCGGCACATTAGATCCATTAGCAACTGGTGTACTGGTGATTGGTGTAAATGACGGGTGTAAGGAATTGCACAAATATATCGGTTGCAATAAGGTTTTTCACTTTTCAGGTAAAATTCAATTTAAAACGCAACCGATTTTTAACAACATTAATTTTTCAGGTTTATTCAGCAACTGGATTGTTTGGTTTCGCAACAGATAGTTACGATTCTTATGGAAAACTCTCAAAAATTGCACCAGTTAAGCATATAACCAAAGAGATGTTAACATTTACATTACAAAAATTTACAGGAAACATTTTACAAAAGCCACCTCTGTAAGATTTAATACTCATTTTCTGTCCCAAAACAATCCGACTATTATATTTTTGTACAGTGTTATAAATTCATTATTGCCAATATAAAGGTATTCTGCTTTGCGAATGGATGGACGACGCCTTTATGATTACGCACGTAAAGGAATTGCACTTCCGAAAAACATTGAACCTCGCGAAGTCAAGATTCATTCATTGTCATTATTAGATTTTACTATTAATCACGATTATAAACCTCCGACAATAACTACCACGATACTTCTCGAAACGCCGAAAATAACCAAAAATAGTGTTACAGCGGAATAACCAAACTGACGCATTTAATATCAAGTCAATCAAATCAATAGACACAATAATTAATGAAAATTCAATTACAGAAAATTTTCTATTGGACAATCCAATTTTTAAAATTCATGTTAAGTGCGGAAAAGGAACATATATTCGGTCATTAGTACATGATATCGGAATAGAACTTAATAGTGCAGCACATGTTGTGGAATTGGTAAGATTACAACAGGGAGACTTACAGTTACATAGAGACACAGTTGAATTGGGTGAATGTTCTGATTTGAATAACATTATTAACGCCATGGAAAAAATCAAATTAAATCGTAGCAGCTCTGATATAATAAAATAATTGATAAAACTATAATTATTTAAAAGTCTATAAATATTATGATTATGTTTATTATTTTGTTTAATTTTTTTATTACTTGAATGGTGCCTATGGTAGTTATTCATCATTATCATCATTCTCTTGGTCCTCTTCACTATCATAATCTGCTAATCCTGTTAGTGCTGAATTGTTAGACTTTTGTATGTTGGTTAACTTAATATTTTGTGATGAAAGTATATTCTGTGAAATGTGTTTCAAAGTTTCAAGGGTTTCTGCAGAAACAATTGACGTTTTGTGTTGTACGGACAAAGAATCTTTATCATTTTCTGTGGATGCAGTTCCACCTCCAACAGATTGATCATAATAAACGGGTTGTTCCAAACTCAATGGCGTTTGATACCCCTCTAGCCCATATTGATCTGGTATAGAGTCAAAGTTCATTTTAGGCCGTTTATTTGCATAATCTGTATTCCCTAGTGTGAATTCAGCCGGAAGACTTTTTTGTATTGCTTGTGCCGCGATTGCTTCTGCCTTTCTCTTATATTCAGCTTTGGCGCGAGGATTTGGATCATCAGTAGCCCATCTAATATTTTACGAGTTATATTATGCAATTTAAAGATATAAATTCATGTGAATAGATGTGTTACCGTACCGTACATTTAGTACCTTCCTTGGTCAAATATAATACAATTAGTGATAAGTATTGGCATGTGTCGTGGCAGTTTTAGTTTTAATACGAACCTCATTATGATCTAAACTCTGGTTGCTCATTGCCTCTTTAGCAAATTCTGCATTTAGCGAACTCATATACGTTACAAAAGCTACGCCTTTGTCTTTTAATATTTTAACTATGCATTTCAAAATTTATTACTTATATATCATACGTATTTGAAAAAAAAGACGATATATTAACTTACTTTTTTCGATTTCTCCCCATTCACCAAAGTGTTTTCTGACTATTTTCTGAATAAAGAATATTTAAACGTTAAATAAAAAAAATACAATTCACGAATTCGTAATATCCTTTAACTAACCTCCATATCGGGATTAATGTGTATATATCCAACATAAAGCGTTCGATTCTCTCTATTAAACGAACCAACACCACCCATATCATCACGATATTCGTTAAATTTGTCGCGTCCAAATACATCAATTGTTGAGTCCACAGGATCTGATTCTGTAGGTATTCTATGCCAAAAACCACACTCGTGTCTGAAAAAGAAAAAAGTTCAAATGTGATGAAATAAATAGAATAAGCCAAAAAAGTTCCGAATTTAATTACCCGAAAGGACAGCATCCACGTGCAAAATATAAGCAGAAATATGTACTAGGCATTTTATCACCTTTTGTTTCACCAGCGTCTAGAGCTACATTGCAACGTGTTTTTGCTTTCTCTCTGTCCATGAAAAGCATATTAAATAATTTTTGTAATGTACAAATTTTACAGAATAATTATTTTTATACAAACCTTGAAAACTTTGATGTCCTTTCACCGCCTGACCATTTGTTGTACCATATGTTATAGAACGTGCCAGGAGTATCAGTAGACGAGACTCTCGTTGGCCCTACTTTTAAAATGGATTCATCTGCCTGCGAAATAATATAATAAATGTCAATAAATTTTGAGAATTGATCGTTGACAGTAACTCTTACCTGTTTTCTAGCTGGTTTCATTTTCAGATTTAAAAAAAAATCGTTATCTAAAGTTATAAAAACGATCAGCTGAGATTAATGGATTTGAGGTCGTACCATTCGTGCCCAATAGCTATATATATACATCGAAATCATGACGTAAAAAGGTGTGTTAATTACCCTTTACAAGTATTCAATAATCCACGGACTTCATGCTAAATACCAAGAGCGAAGGTTTAACGCACAAACAACTACTAATTTTTCAATGTCGGTGCTGAATGATCCAGAGTATGTAAAAAAAGCTTCATATTTTCATAGTTACATGATCACTTCTTCAGTTGTATTAACACAATATGCGATTCGAATTACCTTAAGCTATATTATTCACCAACTACGTATAGGTTATCTTCGTCGTGTAGGGGATCGAATCGGAGAACGCATAATTAGTTTCAATCCAAGTGTCCTTACAAATGACTACATTAAGACTGCTGCATCTTCATATCCGGAGATGATAACTTGTCATTCACCGAGCATTTGCATGCCGGGAAACGATTATTTCAGCAGTAAAAGTGTAATAAGTAGTGCTGCTGGCTCACCTATATCAGGTAACGGGCGGTTAAAAACTCCTTCAAACAGAAGCAGGGATGCAATGTCCCATGGTGGTAAAGAAGAGTCAAGTATAAATAATACAGAAACTTGCGATAGCGACGATGATATCGAATTCGATGGTGATGAAAATGTGTAAGTTAATAAGTTAATAATCTAGAAATCAGTGAGATTTTACTTATAATGATTAGAACGTCTATATTATTATTTATTACAGAAAACAACCGCAACCTTTATTTGCCAAACGTCATTTACCAAAGCAAACCGTGCCTCCACCGCCTGTATTTGTAACATCTCCTTCAAAACCACCCACACGTCGGAATCTGATTCATTCTTATTCCTCGGGAGGTGCATTAAAAACATCTCCAGATAGTCTTCTTGAAGGAATATCGTCAACTGAACAAACGCCACAACTATCACCAACTACTTCAGCGGAAAGTGATAGAGTATTGAATGAGAGAAGAGATTCAGATACGTCTTTGTTGGCAACAGCAACAGGTTTGATAGAAATATCGTCGAGTCCACCATCACGACCAGCATTACCAGTTCTAGAAGAAAATAACCTTTTTCCTGAACCACCAAAGACTGATCCAAAACCCAAGCCTTTTTCAGCGTTGACTGCATTAATTGCAGAGAAAAAGAGTAAATTGGACAATCCATTTGCTGAATACTATAGCTTCTTTGCTGGAAAAGGGGATCTAAACCCAATAATGTTGAAGATTTACCTTCCGTTTAGCAAAGATGCTTCACGACCACTAGCTATAATTGTAAAAAGAGATGCCAATGTTGAAGAAGTTATAGGATATACACTATATCAGTACTGGGATGAGAAAAGGGAACCTTTATTAGAGAAAAGGTTATGTAATGTTTTTCAATGGAATATGAGAATTGTGGAAGATGATGGTGAAATTGACGAAGATTTTCCCGGTAAGTGACAAATTCTCTGTCAATAGAGCCAAATTTAATTTTTATCAAAGTTCTAATTACTATTATTAAATTATTAAATTACAAAGCTCTGGAAAGAACACAGAAAATATTAAAATTTAAATTTGACCAATTTGCCTTATGTGAAGCGACTTTAGCTCAAGGTTAATTTGTAATTATTCATTTTATATGGTTGATTTATTATTTTTAATTTAACTATTAAAATATCGTCAACAGTCAAACAAAACGAGGTGGCTTCAGCAAAATTAAGAACTCCTACCTTTAAAGAAACAGCGGCGACACCCATCAAGACAAATGGAACCACCGAAACAGAGTCCGGAAACAGCATTATGAGTACTAACACGCCCAATGGAGCATCTACGATTGATCTTACCAATCAAATATTTCTGCGTATTCGACTTACTCTTAATCCATTCGAAGAGGTTGCACATACGACCACAGTAAATGCTCAGGCTGACATGCCTTTCCAGAACGTTTTAGAAACTGTTTGTCGTAAACGCAAATTGGATAGCAACAAATATACTCTCAAAATTGCTGATACAGACAAATATATAAATATGGAAAAGACTGTGGAAAGTGTTGGAAATGCTAAAGAACTTGCGCTAATAGAGAAACCCGCTAATGGAACGTCAATTGTTTCTGATGTACCTCCATCAAGTCCAACAAGTGAGATCATGTCGTCTTTTCTGGATTTATGTAGACAATGAAAGCAACTATGACTCATATTATTCATATATAACATTTTTAGCTATTAAAGATCGAAGTCTTGTCAGAAGAAGAACACTTAACGAACCGCCTCAGCCGCAATATGTATCTTCCAATGAATATATGTCAGTGTACAAGGTAAAATTTTGCTTTAGAAGTTTCCTTATATCATCATATTTGTATTGCTTATAACTTAATAACCACTTTAGAAATACACTGTCAATCGTAAATTACCAATGTTCGTTGGACGTCACGAGCGTGTATTAGCGATTGATGGCGATTACATTCATATCATGCCATCAGAAACAAGAACAATGTTTGAATCAATGAAAACGGTACGCTCGGAAGGATATTGTCTATTTTATTTATTTTAATTAATTTATAATTTATTTTAATTAATTTATTTATTCATTTATTTATTTTCGTTATATATTCTTCACCCCAATATTTCGTTTTTCATATTATTAGTCATCATATCATATAACGTCAGTGATGTCTTGTAAAGTAAATAAAAAATCTTCGGCAAACTTCAAATTGGTGATATATCGTGATTCTGGAACGAAGACATATGACTTTGAAGCAGAGTCACCAAAGTTAGCTAGTAAGTAACAATAATTTTACTTTGAATTTTTTTTTTTTTTTATAAGTGAATTTAAATATTTAAATAATTTAATAATCTATATAGGTGAAATTAGTCAAAAAGTTCGTTTTCTCCAGAGCCTTAATAAAGGTGAACAGTCTAAACCGCGATTTTATTCAAATTCAAAACATTAGTCCTATCTTTTTTTATCCTCAAAATTTATCGATATAAAAGCACCCATCCTTCCCGCACGTAACAATACAAAACCTTACTCAAGTTTATATACACGAAACACCTTAACCCATTCTGTTAAATTTCACGTTGTAAATTTATTCCCTCTGTCGTATATTGTATGTATAAGATGGTTTCCCGTTTTTTTTTTTCTTTTTTTTTTTTTTTCTTTTTTTTTTTTTTTTTTTTTTTTTTTTTTTTTTTTTTTTTTTTTTTTTTTTTTTTTTTTT